GCGGCGGCGTCTCCAGCAAGCGCGCTGTGCTCGCGGACCCTCAGCCTCAGGTCGGCGGCAGAGGCCCCTCTGCCACATTGGGATCCCACCAGCGGCTACTGCTGCAGCAGTCTCCTCCCCCTTTCTGTAGCGCAGCTTCCTGCCAGGAGAGTGGCCTCCCCTTCCTGCCAAACACTGGGTGCCCCCGCCCCCCATTCTTAAACCCACCACTGCCTTAGGCATGGGAGGTATTCCTTGGCTCCTGTCCCGCCCCTTTCTACATTCAGGAGCTCCTGGGCCCCCAACTCTGGCCGTGTCTTTTCATTTCAGGGGTCTTTGGCACTTGTGCTGACCTCTATGTCCAACCTCTCAGTGGCCATACCTATCTGCTTTTTTATCTTCCAGGAATTTGTGTTTTCTGTTTTTATTGCCCTTATGGAGTTGTTTATGCATAAATCTGCCTTTCTTCTCATTTGTAAGGATTTGGGCGAGGGAGAGAGAAGTGTGTTAATTTTGAGTCTGCCATCTTGATCCGATCTCTACATAATGTTTCCTGAGTGGTCATTCTTGGGTTTTACTTTTAAGGATTACTCCTGCCTTTCTTTTTTTTTTCTCTTTTTTTATTGCAAATTAATTGCTTGCGCAACGTGAACACTGTGAACATTTCAAAAATTGATAGGAAGAAAATAACCAACTGAAATTCCATTTTCCATTCCCCAGAGCTCACAGCAAAACATTAATACTCATTCTTCCTTTTGCCATTTTTTTTTTCTAGGCTCTCACAAAACCTGGATATTTGGCATATGCAAGTGCATGCTCTGTTTTTTCCATATAGAATAAGCACGTTCTCAGGACATTAGATATTTTAAAAAACATTGATCTTACTGAGTCGACAAATATTTTTGAGCACCTGTTACATATCTGACCATTTGTCTATAAAACTCAAATTTATAGTGACCGTAATTTAACTTTTCCTTCATTACTGAACATTTGGAAAATGTATCCTCAATAAATGGTAATGTGATCTACTTATCACAAAGGACATCTTAGGAAAAAATAACTTTATAAGAAACAGAAAATGACAGTTTTATAATTCAGTAGAAAAAGATTGGTTATTTAAGCAATGCTAAGATTCTTTAAATATTTGGGAAAACAGAAATAAACCACATGGATATGGGCAAATAATTTTTTACAAAGGAGCCAAAAACACACAATAGAGAAAAGAAAGCCTCTCAATAAATGATGCTGGGAAAATTGGAAAGCCACATGCAAATGAATGAAACTAGATTACAGTTTGTCCCATGTACAAAAATTAATTCAAAAGGAATAAAAGACCTAAATATA